TGTACAAGTATATAATGGTAATATTTAACATATGTTTTATCAAGCATGGAATGTCAGAGTTCGAGAGATTATGTCCTCTACCTTATGCCTTACAAAATTACTTGAAACTACAAACTGTGGTAGTGCAATAATATGTGAGCATAAGCCAAAACCAAATTTATTGTCTTATATGAATAGTATAGATATGAGATACAAGAGTACAACTGACAAGTTAAATGATTTTTGTAAATTCACTAGTACTCATGTTAAAGGTGGTATTTCTATTTTGTACAAAACATCTTTACAATTTTCAGTGGAAGAAATAATAGAAACAAATTCAGATAGAAATGTTGGTAATGAGCTGAAAAACAAAAGTTTAAGGACAATTTTCATATTTGGTGTTTACCTACCTGCTGATGGTTCAATCAATAATTATAGACAAGATGTTAAACGCACTTGATGATTTATACACATATTACATCAACTACGGCAAAGTAGTTGTTGCAGGTGATTTCAATGCTAGGTGTATAAACAAAAACTTACAATTAACAAACACGATAAAATCAAGAGCTGCACAACTTTGGACGTAGACACTATATTTTTCATCCATTTACTGACGCATGTAAAACACCACTCAGAGGTCCAAAGTTCACATTCACATTAAAAAGTGAAATGTTGGATTATATATTGATAGACGAGTCATTAGTCAGACAATTACGACGGTATGAAATCCTTATAAAAAGAACGTTTAGCTCAACGTCAGATCATCTACCAATTATCCAGTGTGTGGAACTAGACGAAAACCCCCAAGTTGACTTAAACAATTTTATAAAACTTCCACCTTTGCACAAGATCACAGAACATAATATTTAAAACTATCAAGATAATTTTTGTGCTCCTTTAGATATAATTACACGGAGGGCGCAAACAAATAACATTGAAATATACTTTTTTAACATGAACTAGTGAATAAGCTTATAAATACCACAAAAACACAATTCCGTGTTATTTGTATAATCCGCACACAAAACCATACTGGAATGCAGACGTGAAAAACGCACACAATAGTGAACGCAAAATGCGTAGAGTATGGATGCCAGACGGAAGACCCAGAGGTATGCAACACGAGTCGTACTTTAACTACAAACGAGTCAAACGAGATTTCAGAAACATTCAGAAACCTGCAAATGAATGATATATCAAAGAAACGTAAGATGACATTAATAAAGATGCCGAATGTGATATAAGAATATTCTGGAAATTAATTGAGCGCCAAAAACCAAAACATTCAAAAGTGAGTCAGCAAATTAAACATAATAACGTTGTTCACACATCACCAGAGTCGATTTGTAATGCATTTGCGAATTATTTCGAAGATCTTTATACACCAGTTTCGGAATGTTTTTTTATTTTTTCTTAATATTGTTATAGAAAAACAGCAAGTTCCTAATGACTGGTAAAAAGGACTTGTCGTTCCCTTGTTTAACGGAGGTGATAAACCTAAATTGAGCCCGGAAAGCTATTGGTCCGTATGTTAACTATCTAGGGATCTAGCTTTTCGAAAATGTAGTACTTATCCGCCTACAAACATTTGTCGTAATACCTGTAACGTTCCGAATTCTCTTTATCATGGATTTCAAAAAGGTCTGTGTTGTCTGACTGGGTCCTTTTGTCTTCTTGAAACAATTTACTATAATATAAAACAAAAGTGGAAAGTATTTGTAGCGTTTGTAGACATGTAGAAAGGCCTTTGATACGGTATGGCGTAAAGCACTTATGTTTAAATTATTCAACGTGGGTGTCAAAGGAATATTATGGTCCCTGACTAGTGATATGTATAGTAAAACACAAGGTGCAGTACTAGTTATTGTTAATCAATGTACCTGTTGTAGAAAACCATATTCATTTAGGCATTGAACTAAACGGGAAATTAAACGCACTTGCAAGAACGACAAAAGTTTGTATGAAGGGAAGAAACACTTATTTTGCAATTGTCAACTTAAGAGGTGATAATACAAATCCATTAGTTCTCGTGCAACTGTATAAGTCAGTCGTAATTCCTACTTTTGTATATGGCTGTGAAAATTTGGTGTGATCTGAAAAATCAAGATATTAAATTACTGAATAGTTTTTGAGGCCTTTTATAGCTGACTATGCTGTATGGGCTTTGCTCATTGTTGAAGGCCGTACAGTGACCTCTAGTTGTTAATTTCTGTGACATTTGGTGTCTTGTGAAGAGTTGTCTCATTGTCAATCATACCACATCTTCTTTTTTATATTCAGCATTTTGTTGTAAAGCACGTTCAAACATTCAAGACGACAAGAAGATCAGATATGTGTGAAAGTATGGTTGCGCTACGAAATATAATCTGAATGTGAAATCGAAAAACGTAAATTATACTTCTTTGAAAAACTTTGTAAATCAAAAAAATAATGTCCTGCAAAACAAATCTTTCTACAATGACTTTTTTCGTGCCTGTTAGATAGACGAAATCATATTGGATTTATTCCGGACGTATTAGGCATTCTAGATAAAAACAATTTGTATGACTTTTTTATCACCTATATCCGTGATGAATACTGTCCTGATCAACTGCAATGAATTCAGTAGAATCGAAACATGACAAAGACTGGCTGATTCCCATGAATTTTGACAATAACTTTAAGAGAATCAAATATATACATAAATCCTTACCTGCAGCTCATGTGTGGAAATTCCCTTCGAACAGCTCCGAAATTCGCACTGCACTGTCTATCGGAAAACTTATATCTTCCACTCCAAACCACTTTACCAAATCTTGTGAAATTTGTGAAATCTGTTCACTGACGTTTTTGTACATGCATGCTTTGGTTGTACGTGTACATCAAATATATGCATCAGTTGGCTGGATTAAATAATAGAAAACTTTTCTCTCGATCTCTATGTTAAACTAAGTGAATGTAATGAAGAATCATTATTTACAATTTGTCTAGGAAAAGACCATTCAACTGTGCTAAGCGACTTTGCTACGTCAATGTAATAAACTCTGCATCCGAATACAATCGTCAATTGTCCTATAAGATCTATAATGAGTTGATTAGATACATTCACTGTTTTAAAGATGAATCAATGATTTTATAATATGTAGATTATAAAACACGAAAGTAAGCAGATTTGAAAGACAAAGAAGTACATTATGTTTTTGTTTATTATATCAAACGATATACCTTACGAAATAAGTGCATTTCGAAATAAGGTTGAAAAGAAACAAATTGGATTTACCAAAAATAAATGTTATGTATTTTAGAAGTAATGAAACTATCTAATTGGGCAAAGTTGAAAATTGACCTTAGGTTTGATTGCACTGTTCTGTAGTGTACATTTGTTTATTGATTCGGCATATGGCTTGCTCGACCTCTGGCTTTTGGCTATCCCTAAGGAAATGAACAGCCTGTAATTCATTGGTTGTCGTTTGTTGCTGTATATCGTAATTGTTTTTCGTTTATTGATTGTTCTGTTCATAAATGAGGCTGTAAGTTTTCTCGTTTGAATTGTTTCGTTGTCATTTCGGGGATAGTTATAACTTGCGTAATATGCGATATGGGTTTACCAATTATCATGGTTAATATGTAAAAACAAAGTACTTGAATATTTAATTCCTGTGTTGTTGCCTCTTAGGTTTTACTGTACAATTTTCTATCTTAATTTTTTTTTTAACTTTTAAGCAAACAATCCTTTCCGTAGTTTATTAGGCTGAAAAAAATATCGTTTACTCTATCAAATGACAAAATATTCCTATTTTTTATAGGCGAAGAAACAATATTGTATTGCATAAGAGAGAAAACATTTATTCTGAAAAGTTCGTTAAAATTGTTGAAAAATTAAGCTGCTTTTCCTTGATTAATATGTCGTTAAACAAGAGAAAAATATAGCACCCTTTTATATAGCGTATATGATAAATAACTTGCATTTTTTCATACATCTTAACAATTCATTTGCTGCTTACTTCATGCAATTACTGTAACATATATATTTTGAGTGGACAGTGATTTCTAACATTTATATCATGATTATTCAGTGGTTTTTATTTCACATAAAAAATTAACCGTACGGCGTGTTTATTCATAATTGATTAAGAAAAGAATACTTCCACTTCAATGTGATCGGTAAAATAGGATACATTTCCTTAACATATTTGCAGAAAATATTTTTTGACGGTATACAAGTCAGATGATTTATATTTAAAAGGTTTTCTTGTCGAATAACACACCTCGTGGTCGGTCTTTCATTTAATCAATCCTGACACCTTCAGTGTGTTATACGACATGAAAAACCTTAAAATATGCATTATAATTAACATAGCGCCTCGGTTTCCACTAAGTGCTACATATATCTAGCATTAATGTTGGCTTACACCGAGGAATGCAAACATGCATTAAACATATTTGAGAATAGAATATGTTTTTTACAAAGTAGAAGAAATTATCCTGTCAGGATTCTATTATATAATTGGTCTTATCACTACTCTGGAATTGTGCAGTTTGGGCTTTGTATATTATTGAAGGCCGTATGGTGAAATATAATTGTTAACTTCTACTTCAGCTCCTACTACATTTATGTTTTTTTTATACTTAACGTGTTTCAGAGTCAACGTTTCATAAACTCATATTACATATACCCAATATACCATTTCAGTCAGTTTGCATTACTTGTTCATAATTATGAAACATCAGGTTTCTGCTTTGTAAAACATTTTCAAAAACATTTTGTTTGTTTTCTTTTCCCACCTGAATATTTAAAATTCTCAGACTTAAAGATGGCAATCTATTAGTACTGGATATACATATAATGGTGCATACTCTGTAAAGATCACGCAATTAAATCTAATGATATGTTTATGAAATTATGCAGCCCACACCGGATGTTTGACTTATGTTTAATATACATGTTATAGGTGAATAAACGGAGAAGTTGGGGAACACGCCAACGAAATCAACTCACCAATACAATATATCTCATTTATTTATATAAAAAAGTTGGATACTAATTGTTCTGGGTATAGGTTTTTCTCATTGCTGAAGGCCGTACGGTTGCCTATAATTGCTACATCCACTTTGAATTTTGAACTTTGGTGGATTGCTTTCTCATTGGCAATTATACCACATCTCCTTTTTTATATGTGTAAATGAGATATATTGTATTGGTGAGTTGATTTCGTTGGCGTGTTTTCCAACTTCTCCACCTGTCCAGAGAGTTGATGAAAAAGTCAGCTTATATACTGATTCTTGCAAACGTTCGACTATGCATTAAAGTCAATCATTAAACAGAGATTTTATTATACTGATTGGTTATTAATCAACACAGCGATTTAGTAAGTAGGTTGGTGATTTATCAAAATCGAAATAAGGTAAGATAATTTGGATACTAATTATTCTGGGTAGAGGAGGGTAGCAAGATCTATACGCTTAAGGAAAATGTTGTTTTTTAATGAATGTTAGACGGTTCTGTAGGTAGATTCTAGCAAACGTTGTCTTTTTCTAATAATCTGCAAAAGAGATTGCGTTCTCTTTGTGAAAATTCAAGGCGAGGTCGCCTTTTTCCTTGACGATTTTACAAAATTAGTCTATTAGTCTAAGCGTTTGAGTAAATATTACCCCGTTGGTAACAATTGTACAATGTAGTTACCTTGAGATATTTTAGACTAACAAATGACGTTATATTATTTCAACTATACATTGTACTGGCGTGATCAATCTGCACGATTTATCGAAACATTTACCATGTGGTGGTTGATACAATGGGAAGGTCAACTATCATCGACGAAGGGGTTATAGAATAAAGTAAAACTAATCATTACATTTAATGTTTCAGTCAAGTTTGCGTTAAGGGTTGTTTACTACTGTGGTCCATGCTTTGTAGTACTAACATAAACCCATATATGTTATAAAAGGTTAGCTGACCGTCATATGATTTATAGTGGTTCCAATTTTCGTAATGAACTGTTTGAGCCTAATTAAATTTAAGATAAATAATTATGAACTGATAATTGTTTCTGTCTTTATAGGATGATTTATTCGAAATCAGTCTGCCTATTTTGAAAGATAAAATGCATTGCATATCTCTCTTTCTGTAACGTAGAGGTAACGTGGCTGATGTTTTGAACAAATTTGAACACATATGAACTTTGTATTGTGATTTACATGACTGTAAACCCGATAATTATTTGCCTCCGCTGGATTATGAATTGTTTATTTAATATGAACTGGTGCATAACGAAACAGAAGCAAGTAAAAATAGAAATTACATGCGAGAGTAACAGTTTTACACGTTTCACTAAAGAAGAGGTTTACATGTTTTGAATTCTTGGTAAGTTCACCATATCTTTTTTTAAACATGCTCATTTTGTTGAATATAAATCAGTTGGTTTGGATGTGTATAGAGAAAAAAAGCCTCTACAAACAAGATAGGAATACCGTTACCTTCATCCCGGCAAATCCCTGAAAAACGACCTCTGTAATATTGTTTTTTGTTATAAACCAAACATTTTAAAGGACAAGACAACAAAAAACAAAATTAATCTTTAAAATTTATAACGAAAGTGTCATACCAATAACACGTCATTCTGAAATCAAATGCAACCGTAATATTCTCTGTGTACTTGTCCCAAGCCGGAAACCAGTAGGCCAGTGGTTGTCGCTGGTTGCTGACTGCCATTTTTGTTTAGGTTTTTTCATTGTTGTAGTTTAAATCATGATGATGGTTTGCTCTTTTGAATTATTTCAAATTTTCCCATACCAGCGGCTAAAGTAAGAAAACGTTTTTTCGGATAAAAGTAAAACTTCTGTGGCGTTTACATTGATCATAATGTACATCTAAATTCAGTCACGATATGTTAAATTTAAAAATTTACAATTGAAAGAAGGCAACGTCTAATTCATATTAATTTCGACCAAACATCATATTAATCGCCTTTTCCGTTTGAATACGTTAGAAAAAAGAAATCAAACAAAAAATATAATAGTTTCAATCTATTAGATTCAATTTCTGAGCAATGCACATTTCTTATACTCGTTTATTAAAAATTAAAGACAAAGTACGTTTATTTTCAAAATTTTAATTAATATCTGAATAAACTAATCCGCAAAATCATTGAATATGTATTTTTTAAACGATATCAACCTTCAAAAATGTATTGCCGTGTCACAGCATATGAACAGATATTTGGTCAGTAACGTATAATCTCAAATGAAAATTTATTATGACAGAAATTGCTTCATTTTACATAATGTAATAATATTTTATTCCATTATGAAAAATTTGCTTAAAAATGTTAAAATAAAATGTATATCATTTCAAATGATTATTTAGTTTTTTTAAAATCCAAAGAAACCGATATTCCTTTCATCAGATTTTAATTCAATCTTGTTGTAATCTACTAAATTATCGCATATCCGATAAAAATCAAGTCACGAAGACTTTTTATAATAGTGTTCCATTGAATAATCAACTCCACCTTATATAAGAATAGTGTATACACTTTCATATTTGTGTAAACTATGAACAAGTAGCCATTTGTAAAAACATGATATGTAATAGTCTTGAGATAAAAATCCACGAATTTAAGAATTATTCCGAAAACAAAATTCTTTGTATCTTTTTTAATTGTTTTATTACAAATAAGATACAATCATCGTTCTGGAGCGTGCAATGGATGACAGCATGTGTCTGAAGATTTTAATTATAACACTATGCAATTATTGGTTAGTCTTGAATACTGTTTTATTACCCCTCCACTAGACTGTCTATTTTGGGAGTAGGTCAAAACCTAATAAACAACCGACATTCTAAGTGTTAAAAAGAAGCTGAATGCTTGTTGTCCTAAATTTCATAATGTCTTTTTGACATGAAAATTTAATGAGTGAATGGTCAGAATCGAAGAATCCTTATAAACGAAGGACGATAAGCGTTAATCATAAAGGGTGTTTTGTTAATTTGAGTTCGCAATGAAAAAACAAAACGTGACATACATCGAAGATCATGGTTATCTCTTGGATAATAGATTTTGTTGAATTATAAATTTTCATTTCAATATAATAACATAAGATGTATGTTTCATTATTTTACGTTATTTTGATTGGCTAACAGCAATCTCGCGTCATTCTTCATTTCAAAATGAATTTCATGAACTGTAACATATGATGACACACGTTTCCACAATAAAGTGCACTGGTAAATAAAAGAAAAAAAAACATAGTAATCGTGTTTTCATGATCATAGCGAAAAAATGAAATTATAAGTATTGAATGCTTCTTTTAGTAATTTCATAGGGTTGTAAAAGCGTTGACCGTGCGTACATTTTTAGAATGAAGCGCTTTCGCGCTTCATACAAAATGTACTTCGGTCAACGCTTCTACACCCCAATGAATTTACAAAAAAAAGCATTCAATATTTAATTGAATTACGGATGTAAAACAGAAAAAAAAAAAAACATCATTGAAAATTGAAGATTTACAATTGATTAATGAAAATATCGGAATATGATGTATAAAACATATTTTATTTATAACTGCGGTATTTGAGGAATATTAGTATAACATAGTGTGTTAAATCGGATAAGAATTAACACTCTCAATAATCATAATACTAATTAATATAATCATAGCTTCATTTACCTATAACTTTTATTGGTCTCTGTTGAATTGTTGCACTTATTTTTATAGACTATGGTGATTTAAAGATTGGGATACAAACCTCTGTTGATGAAGACTATATATATCTCTAAATGTGTTTTTATTATGTAAGGTTGCTGTATCCCATTTCAATTTGTTCATTTTATTTATGAGATCACTCATATAAGAGGGTTTTTTTATGAACAGGTTTGAAAGGAATTGGAACTGATATTATTCTATTAATTAAACTGTTTCAACAAATCGAATAATCTATTACTTAAATCTGTCATAATAATTAAAGTTTTGTTAATTCAGTACACATATTTTCAACATTCATACTTCTATCTCTTTTTCTTAATATCAGAATCAATGTGTGAGTACATTTATTTAAATTGTTTAAATTGATATCTGGACAATAAATATGACTGCAAATAGTTGGCAATGGCGAGTTAAAACATGAAATGAAAGAAAAGAACAAAAACTGAAAAACTGAATATTTGATGTCAAATAAAAAAACGCTCACGAAGAAACTAGCACGTACCAATGTGTTCATGTCACATTTAATATTATTTTAATAAATCCACACGACCTTATAACATTATTTGCATTATAACATACATTTCATTAAAACTGATGTAAGTGGAACCTTTTCTTTTTCTAAACTTTTGTATGAGACCGCACCCTTTTCCTTATGAAACAAAACAAAAAAACTAATATATGAAATGCTTGGACTTGACAAGATTTGACAACCTGTAATCCAATACAAAAATTAATAAAGCACATTTCTGAATCATACACATATCAACATCTAGGCTACTTAAATCGATATAAACGACTACACTTTTCCCTTTTAAGCCGAGAATTTGTCGTCCTTCGACAGTTGTTTTATGTCTCCGTAAAGGGGTTTGGAAGGTGTCTGAAAATTTGGTAAATCTTATGAAACTGCAAGAAAGTATAAGTAAAGTGCACAAGTAAAATACATGGATCTACAGTAACAAAATTCAGTTTTACATGTACTTCATTGCGACGTTACTTTGCTAGCAATTTAAATCAACCAAATGAATTTTGTACTATAGTTACAGAATATACTATTGCACCAATTGTTTGGTGTCATGTTTCTTGATAGTGAATAAAACATCTGACGGAAACTGAAACTCTACTTTTGTAACCTAAAACCAAAGTGTTCCTTCGAATAACTATAAATAAAGGAGAATGGTTGATAAGGCTATATTTGTTTTTGTTCGGTTTTAATTCTTTAAATCTATTTTCATAATGTATCATTTTTTTTGGAAGCTTTTAGTCTTTTTTTTTGTATTTTTATTTTAAAAGTCAATAAAACAAGCTTATTTTTACTGGGTTTCAGACAATCTTATTGTTAATAGTTTACTTATAGGTCAAAACAACTGTCCCGTCTTGCATTATCCCCACTGATTATCCCGCATATTTCGAATGTCACGATGCTTTTGTTATTACATCAGTGCTAGAGCTGATTGTTCAATGATGTCATTGACGATCTCATTCTTAAAGGGAACTCAAAACTGTTAAATGACATCAAATTCATGCATAAATTCATGCGCGTAGGTACGTTTACGTCAAAACGCCCGGGCGTGCACATGAATTTTGGAAGAAAAAAAATTAATCTAAAAAGATTAAAGGAATTGGTTAAAACCACACGATCATTGTTCTTCTTGCTACGATGACTTGTATAATTGAAGATAAATCAGATGGTATCATATTACATATTTGTTCATTTTCAAGTCTGAATCTACTGTGAATTAATATACTCAGTTTCCTATTGATTAAAGCAATTTATTACATATAATACCACGTTAACAATTAGGGTGACGGTGTTTGACAGTCTGAGGGAAACAGCATCAAGGATTTAATAAGACAAAGCTTTTGTTGTTCTCAATTTAACTCAAGTTTTCTTTATCATATATATATGAATGCCGAGATACGATATGTAGTTTTCATTTTTATTTTACAACTGACCATCTATGATGGGATGATTTCCAATGAACTCTCGAGACTCCACCAGAGACTAAATGACGTAGAAATTACCGTCTATAACTGAATTGCAAATACCTGAATAGACACAAACACATACAGAATTCGGCTGAGCTAAGCATGTTTTCCGGCGCCCAAACCTCCCTAATCTGGGAAAGTGGTGTTAAAGTACAACATAAGAATAAATAATAAAAATCAGTTGAAAAGGACTTAACTCATTAGAACAATACAAGCAACAACAAAAAAAAACAAAAACAAAAACAGAAAAGACACAAAGTACAGATCTGAGAGTACTCGCAGTTATTGAAAGCTAGCTCAAAACCCACAACACTCTATAAAAAATCATGTATCTTAGACTAAGGTATCAATCAGTACATCCACAAGGATGCCTGGGGAATAAAAATATGGTCACTAGTAGTCTACAGCTCATCTTCCGACCGACACTAAAACTCTTGACAAAGTGGGGCGTCTGTTTGGCTGTGTGGGATGTACAATTACGCAGCCAAGTCTGACCAGAATATGGACGTTTAATCCGATGCCTCGTTTAGAGAGAGTGCCACGCTCTTTGCATGTTAAGGACCCTTGCAACCACTTTTTGAGCAGAAGGGTCCCTAGGTGACCTGTTGCAAGACAAAATTTCTGTCCCTATCCAATTTACCCTATTTTTCCAGTGGCAGTATAAATTTCCCCGACCTTCATCTGGATGGCCTCTATTACAGGACCTACCTATTGTATTAAATGTTAATTTGTTCTGGTCCTGAACATGAAATATTTGTCACTGGAAGTTAAGCAACTAACAATCACTCAATCATCAATTAGTACACATCCAACTTCTAATGGCTTTAGTGTAAAGACGTCATTAACATTCAGAGAAAAACATGACCTTGTGCAATGCCAAAATATAGGTATCGACAGATTGTAGGATCGTAAATGTACATCTGTATAACAATGATATTAAGTAACCCGGATCGCATCAAAATTAACGGGCTTGGTAAACAATGCAACATCACCGTAAAAATTAGGATGAATCGCGTTTATGTAAAGTTTTCTACAGGTAAAACCAAACTTCCAACCCAATCTTTGTATCTATGGAAGAATTAAGTGAAGGTTTTAAGTAATTTGTGGTAACGAAATCCTTGACTTAATAATTTATTGTAATCTATAGTTTACGTTCATTGAAATCCAAAACGTCACTACATACACGGACATAGCAAACGATTTGGGATATATAAACACCGTTAGGGGGTGCCAAAGGAAAATCACAGTCCAAAAAAGGAAAACTAACAATAGCGAACGAAAATTCGTTCCTTTTACCTGTAATTATTGTGTATATATTCCAGTTTAAAACTTAAATATATAAATCTAGGCCCACTGTTTACAGTAACTGGTTAGAACTGTTTTCTCTAGAACCATTAACCATTAGATTTCAAATCAACACAAGGAATACATTACAGATAAGAAATAAACATATACGTCTCCAAAGTATGTTGCTATTGATGGGTTTTTAAAAGATATCTCTTTCTTGATAACGCGTAAGCTTCCTGGGGGCTTCGCCCTCTGGAACCCGCGTACACGAGGTCTGTCACGGACCCGCTAGGGCATGTTGCGGCCACTGGGCCCCTCTCCGAGGTTCGCGCGTACACTTAAAAATTGCATAGCTACGCCACTGGAATTTACCGTAAAGCGTTACCTTAAACGATGACGTATACATGCAATAGGTGAGTATGTACATCAGGAATGTGACGCTTTGCGTTTCTGTTACTGATGTCGATAAATGTAATCACTCTTTATGTTCGTACGTCATCTTATACTGTAATATATTTTTGTTTGGTACCCGCCACAGTCATTACATGTATTTCAAATGTATATAATATTGCACTAAAGTGAAAATAATTCAATGTTTCATTTTTAATTTTAAAAAATGTATTTGCTAAACAAAATTTAATCGTGCTGAACCAACTATATAAAGATACATCTATTCATAAATGCAAATATCAAATATTTGAGAAAACAACTCGAAACTTCTAAATTTCATTTAATCGATAGGATAAATTGAAAGCTTTCATTAAAATGTTGTATTGAAAGTAATATTTGAAAGATATATTGTAAAAAAATAATCTTATATGTTACAATTGTTACGTAAAAATTAAATAGATGTTTTTAATAAGTTATGAAATTAAATACCGCCTTTTCTTTTCAGGTATGTTTTATTTTCTATTGCAACCAATCTAGATGAAGCAATGATTGACTTGAATCATTCACGTGCAATCAACTGGGTATAAAATATATGGAATACGTCTCTTTGGTCTTTTAACGACTAAACAAAACGGCAGTGCATAATAATGGCTCGAGAAAAAAGACTCAATCTTTTTATCGTTTTGATTTTAAGTATCCACAGCAAAATTTTGGTAAGTTTCGTCTCTCCATCATTCATTGCATTTTGCTCTATCATTTACATATAAAGTATTCAATACCGAATATATAAACTTTGGGGAAGACAGTTAAAATTCTATAAAGATTTATTTATTTATTTATTTATTTATTTATTTATTTATTTATTTATTTATTTATTTATTTATTTATTTATTTATTTATTTATTCATTTATTTATTTATTTGATTATTTGTTATACGTACCTTGCTTAGATATCATTCGTAAATTATCGTTCATACTTGTATGCCATCAATGGATAATGCATAATAAATAATATTCTAGCATGTTAAAGTTCATTGAAAAAATGATGTTACCACGTAAAATTACCATTTGTTTCGATCTGTATCAATTTAAACAATTTGGCTAATCCTTTTTGACTTTTCACTTTCTGACTATTGTCTTGTAACAGTATCAGGCACACGAAAGCTAAGACATGATAATATCACACCTACACAAAATTCAAATCCAGAGAAATGGATGTAGATAATCCTAATGGGATATGTTCAGATCATGTTTATTTATAGTTTGACGAAACATCCGTATCGAAAAAAGCAATTCCAGTTTTACGTACAAATACGTGATCTAAAATTATAAGATATTTGCCTAAACATTTCCACTCATCGAAGTGAAATAGAATACTACTAGCAACAGGAATATTTCGACAAACGAAAATTTAAACAACAATATAAGGCTCTATTAAGTCCTGCACTGACACAAGATGCGGTCTGCGGTCAAAAGTTTTAAATCATTTACAGGCACGGATAAAATAATTTCCTTATGGAACATTTCTTTTTTTTAAATATATATCGTTATTTTTTCAGGGTTTACGTTAGCACTTTTGCAAAAAATATATAGTTTTTCTAATGTATATGAACTCATTACAGATACTAGGATTACAATCAATTTTGCACGCGATAGGACTATTTCAACTACAAAAGACTCACCAGTAACCACGCCTGGTAAACCATCAAATCTCAACCAAATGGGTAAGCGAGAAAAAGTTTACTGGCACTTCCGGATGAGCTTTTCAGGTACAAAATATCAAAAATATAGATAGGGAAGGTCAACTTTTCATCAATTTATTGTCAATCTGTAAATATTTTGTTAAATAGGAGAATGTCATGCCATAGCTAACTGAATGAGAGCTTGTCTCGTTCATTACTCGGATAAATGCTATTTAAAATGACATCGGAATGACTTTCTCCCGCAGGTAAGTGCGGCCAGCTCAGTGAATTTTGACAAAATGACAGTGAGTTCACCAATACGAAACGTATATATCAGTATTTAAGTGTTCTTCTTAATCAATATAAACGTATAATAACAGTTTCTTTTCTATTTATTACAAATTTAATTTTATTAAGCTGAATATCTTATACAGTATGTCAGGTTGAGATTGTCTGGTATCGGTTGTGATATTCTGGAACAATGTTGAGATCAACTGTTGAATAAAACTTGTAATTGTCAATCGTATACGACCGTCAAAATTCGTGAACCCTCTGTATAGGGGTTGTCATTATGACTTGTTTCTTGTTTTCGCATTAGGTCTATTAATACAGATACTAAAGAGTAGAAAACGAGATGTAAAGTATAGCGCTGAAGATGTAAGGTCTAGCACCGAAGATGTAAAATCGAGCGATGTAGGTATTAGGTAGCAATACACAGTTAGGAGTTTGGTTTCGCAATTCGGCCCTGGTGAATTTGTCAAAAAAGAAATTTGGTGTGCAATAAAATTTTTCCCAGATAGCTGAAGAATAATATAACTTTCAAAAGAGGTTTAGATGAACATCAAACATTTATTTTGCATGTTTTACTAACTCAGTAAAGTCTAAATTGCATTTAATTGATAAATTGAACAACACTTACTGTTTTCTTGATGGTATTTGTTCGTTAAATAATCAAAACAAATTTTCTTAATATACTGCCAAAATTTACACATTGGAACTTATTTTAAATAAATCAAATATAAACGGTAATAACTGTCCTTTCCTAGATTCAGATATTTCCGTTTTACACGGGAAACTCTACACTAAAATTTACGAGAAAAGGGACGATTTTTCGTTCCCTATTTTTAATTTTCCTTTTTTGGATGGTGATGTTCATTTGGCACCATCTTACGGTGTTTATATATCACAACTCGTACGCTATGCCCGAGTCTGTTGTGACGTTTTGGATTTTAATGAACATAATCTATGTATTACTGGTAAATTATTAAGTCAGGGATTTCGTTACCACAAAAAAAGCTTAAAATCTTTACTAAATTCTTCCATAGATATAAAGATTTGGTTTTGAAGTTGGTTGTTCCTGTAGAAAACTTATTTCAAACGGGATAGCACGTCCTCATTTTTACGGAGATGTTGTTTAACGAGCCTTGAAATTTAAAAACGATCCGAATAAAGTTATCGACCCTTTAAATAAAATTATTCTAAAAGGTTACCAATTCAACAATGTAATTAAATCTTTGAATATTGTTTTTTTGGTATTAATATTGATTTTGTTATCAGTAAAGTAAAAGCACACTAAATATTATTGTTATATACATATGCACATTCTACAATCTGCCGATACCTGTATCTTGGCATTGCACAAGGTCATGCTTTTCTCTGACTGTTTATGACGTCTTCACACTAAATCCATTGGATGTTGGATGTGTACTGATTGATAGTTTAGTCTTAAATGCAAGATTTTTTTATTAGTAGTTATTGGCTTTGAACTAGCTGTCAGTAACTGCGAGTACTCTGAGATCTGTCCTTAGTGTCGTTTTGTTGTTGGGATGTACAAGTACCTGTTCACGTCTGTTTTTGTTAGATGTATTTCTATTTGTATCCTTCTGATGAGTTGAGCCTTTTTCAATTGATTTTTAATGTTTGTTCTTATGTTGTACTGTTACACCACTCAGGTTAGGGGGAGGGTTGGGCGCCCGCTAACATGTTTAACCCAGCCACATTCTGTTTGTGCTTGTCCAAAGTCAGGAGCCTGTAATTCAGTGGTTGTCGTTTGTTGATGTGTTAAATATTCGTTTTTTGTTCATTTTTTTGTACATAAATTAGGCCGTTAGTTTTCTCGTTTGAATTGTTTTACATTGGTCATTTCGAGGCCTTTTATAGCTCACTATGCGGTATGGGCTTTGCTCATTGTTGAACGCCGTACTGTGACCTATATTTGTTAATTTCTGTCTCACTTGGTCTCTTGTGGAGAGTTGTCTCATTGGCAAATTATACCACATCTTCTTTTTTATATTTACGGTGATTTTTCTGTTTTACAGTCCTTGTATCACAGTCCTTCTAAATGGTTTTCATTTGACATCTAGATAGATAAATGTCAATGGTTTCAGAAAAGATGTCACTCAAATGGATTGAATTTCTACTTTATACCGTATTTTGGGGACATTTGTGACATTTTTATCCCCCTTTTTCCAATCTTTTGTATCAAATAAATGCAAATTGTTTCTTTGGTAACACCTTAAAGAGATTACATTTTACCATTTTACCTATTGTAAATCATTCTATGGAGGATGTTGTTTCCAAATATATGCACATACACGACACAACAGTAAGCCTTATTTGTAAGAAGCAAGGCAGGTCTGAAAATTAAGATCTACAGCACTGGCCTTTGCACTTAACTATTTAGTATCCGTATTAGACCAACATGACTCCATATAATACCAACACCATAAACAAGTTAAAATGACGACCATTATATAGAAAGTTCGTGTATTTTGACGGTTGTATCCGATTGATACGTAGCTAGTTGAAAATGTTATTTAACAGTAGATCTCAACATTGTTCCTGAATATCACAACCGATACCAGCCAATCTCAACCTGACATACTTTATAACATATTTAGCCTCTTAAAATTAAATTCATAAGAAATAGAAAAAAAATACGTTTATATTGATTAAGAAGAACACTTATATACTGATATATACGTTTTGTATTGATGAACTCACTGTCATTTTGTCAAAAACTCACTGAGCTGGTCGCACTTACCTGCGGGAGAAAAGTCATTCCGATGTCATTTTAATTTATATTGGTCCGAGTAATGAACGAGACAAGCTCTCATTCAGTTATCTATGGCATGCCGTTCTCCTATTTAACAAAATATTTACATATTGACAATAAATTGGCGTAAAGTCGACCTACCCTATCTATATTTTTGATATTTTGTACCAGTCAAGCTCAACCGGAAGTGCCAATAAACTTTTTTCTCGCTTAACTATTTGGTTGAGATTTGATGGTTTACCAGGCGTGGTAACGCTCGAATCAAACAAATTAAAAAGTCCTAATAAAATAAGAAAGTGAGGAGCAAAGACGAATGATAATTTTTAAAAGTTTTGCCAAATACAGCTAAGGTTATCTATTCCTGGGGAAGAAAATCTTTAATTTATTTAAAAAAATCCATCTTTATTTACACAATTAATTTATATATATATGAACATTTCAATAATAATTCATGTCAACACAGATTAAAGAGCAGGGGAATTGAGATCGGTACTTTGTGTCAACTGTGTTTTGTTATTTGTTTCGTGCAAAGTTAAGATCTGATCAGTGGAAACCTTTTTTATTGACTATTATAGTGTGTTTTTATGTGGTATTGGTACACCACTATCCATTATTACGTCAGAGTTCAGCGCTTGCAAACATGTTAAAACACTTCAACAAACGTTGTGTGCCTGTTCCATTTGATATCGTCGGTTTCTTGTTTGAATTATGACATTCTCATTTGCAATCATACAACATCTCCATATTTTATATCACTATCATAGCAGCGATGCAGTTGTGTGAACATGAACAAAATATTTGTAGTTAAATTTCCGTAAATCAACTATGAGAAGATGTATCTGTGATGTCTTCATGAATGACTAAGATTGAATTTGAAACTTTACATTACAGCCGTTTTATCCCTTATTTTCTTATTTTCATCATTTCCTGGAATATCCCTACACAGAATACCATCATATAAATTTTACAGTATTTA